AAAAGATCTTGGCCCAAAACTGCAATGCAAAAAGATGAGTAGGTAAAGAGACAAGGATGTCCTCAACGTCGGTGGTAATCGCTGACACTAAACCCAATGGGGCAGTCATTCACAGCCTGCTGGGATGTGGTGGTGAGGATGAGAGCACTTGGGACACCCCCTGTGAGGTTGCCTTTGCTGGGTGATGGAAGTGAGCAGGGCTGGCTTTAAGGATGCAGCCTGGCTGTGCAGGGACCACTGCTACCTCCAGGCAGCCGGGAGAACCCCACCTGCCACTGGGTTGTGCTGGCATCACCTCTCCTGCCTGGGGCTGCAGCCCTGCAGATGCAGGACACAGGCTGTGCCCAGTGCCATGGATCCCTGCAATGTGCTCAGATCTGGGACTGGAATCACTTGAAGGCTGCCAGATGGAGGAGGTGTGAGGCTGAAGGTGGAGGACCCTCCTGCTTTGGGTCTCCGAAGTCTCCGAAGTTTGGAAGAAGTGCAATTAGAGTGAACTAGTACAAGGAAAGATGCGATAACAGAGGTACGTTAATCACAGTACAGGTATGAGAATCAGTGCATGCAGGAAGGGCGCTTTGCTGCGGACTCAGAACTGGAGCAGAGCTGGAAAGCAGAACTCCGCAGCCACTTTAAGAAATCCAGTTGGAAAATAAGGCAAAGTAAATATTTACTCGTGCCTGGGCTAGCTGCATGCATGATTGCAGTGGGAATTCTTCACACTGCCCCGTTAATGCTCTCATCTGCTGGGTTAATGCACGCCAGCAGCGGGAGGAGCTGCGGGCTGAGCCCCTCCAGGTGCTTCTGGAGCCTCTCTGTTAAACACCACTCCTGCTTTTTAATGAACCCAACCTCCAATGCAAATTAGATTCCAAATAATAAGTAATTAACTTTATCAAATTGACATTACCATTTATAACAAAATGTCAACACCGCCTTTATAAACAAGGCAGAGCTGCTATTTGCGGAGTCAATGGGGGGGGGAGCGTGGGTAGGAGAATGCAGCGGGGATGGGGTGGAGAACAAATGCTTCATTCTCTTCCCATGGCTGTTCTTCCGCTGCTGCTTGGAGCAGCTCCTCGGTGTCCCATACTCTTTGTTGACATGAGATGACATGGATGGGATGCATTCCCTGCTGGGCGCAGACACTGTGCCTTGGGGAAGGGCGCAGCTATGGGAAAAGCCTTTGTGTTATGGAGCTCAGGGCCTGTTTCTTCATTAAATGGTGCTTAACTGCAGATGAAGGTTTTGCTGATGGTGTTTCCAGAGGTGTAAAGCACAGCAGAGGTTGCCTCCAGCCTGGATTTCCTCACCCCTTCCTCTGGGTCCCATCTCATAACGGGAAGAACTGCGGAATGAAGGCACGCGGTGCTGTGCTGGGTGCCAATGCCGTGATGGATGGATGGACCTCATAAAAACGTGCAAATGTGCAAAGCAGGAGCCGGCTTAACAAAATAACTGCTGTGTTTGAAGGAGGAAAAAGGAGTGTTTACTCTCACGTATGGAAATGAAATCACTCCTCCGTGCGCATTGGCGGCAGCGCTGTGTGTTTCTGCGTTACCCAAGAACTGGAGTTACTCATTCACCTCTGGTGTCCTCGCAAGCAGAGGTTAATGGCTGCAAGGAGGATCACGGTAATCCTCCTTCCTGCAGGCGTGGAGCAGAATGGAAGCGCAGGAAGGTGGGAGAGCTGCTGCAATGGGGGTCCCATGGGGAGCAGCACCTGCTGCCCTGGGTGGTGTGCAGGGGGAGAGCGGGGCCCTCCAGCCATTCCTAGGGCCACGTGTGGAAGTCTGCCCCAGGGATGCTCTGAAGGAAGCTGCCTTCAATGTGTGTTGGGTCACAGCTTTTTGTTAGACGTTATTTTCATAGTGGGGAAAAATATCCGTTTTATTGGCATGGGTGTTGCTGTGAATTTGCCTTCTTACCACAGCTCTGGCAAAGTCAGCCCAAAATTTGGCAATCTGAAAGGAAACGTTAATATAAAACTGTGTGTAGAGGAAGGGCTTGGATGCTTTCTGCCCTAGAACTGGATGTGCCGGCACAGAGAGGCTTTAATGCTCTAACGAGCCAGGTGCAAAGAAATTATTTATTTTTCTTAAGGTTACCGCTCTTGAGAGTCCATTCATCTATAAGGATGCCAATGGGATTTGTGGCCTTTCCAGTTCACGTCTCGGCAACGAGGAGCGGATGCTGATCCCTCTAAAGGGTCACTTTGGGTTGGGGCAGTGCTGGGGGGGCTGTGCTCCATGCTGGCCTCTGGGAGCAGCTCTACCCCTGGGGCAGCTCCTGGGAAACGCATTTGGTTCCATCCCAAAATCCATCTCTGATTTCAGATCTTAAAAAAAAAAAAAAAAAAAAGAAGGGAAAAAAACCCAACCCACATTAATCCCATCAGTGGAAATAATCATGTTGGGCCCACGATCTTAATCTTTTATGTCGTACACATCTGGAAAAGTAATTCAGGGAAATAATATAAACTTCAGCTAAGCTGTATAAACCCAACAAGAAAGTGATTTCATTTCGCTGCGGCTCGGCAGACCTTTGTCACACGCCTTCCTGTAACAATATTGATTTTATAACACCTACACTTTGTTCTCTTCCTTAACAGGACAGCTGCTAAGTGCTGGTAAAACAAACATCACATGTTCCGTGGGGCTCCTACAAGGTTTGCAATCAGGCGCTCTCTAATAACTGCTTAAATACTCTCATCAAGCTTGTCCTTGCTGTTTGCTTTAGGACACGGTGTTTTTTTTCTCCCCTCCCTATCTATTCTGCATGAGCGATAGGCAGAGCTGGAGGTCACACAAAGTAAATGCAGGTGGTGCTTTGGGTTTTTTCCTTTTTTTTTTCATTTTTTCCCCCCCATTGCTGAGCTTGCCTTTCCGAAGCAGCGGAGCGGATGTCCCCCTAAAAGCATTGCCTTGTTCTTCCAGGCATGGTGATCTCCTGAATGCAGGTCCCTATGAGCTCCTGGCACGTTTTCAAGTCCAAGCTGAGCAAATGCAAGATGACAAGAAGAATAAGAGCTTGCTTAGCAGGGAGAGGAGCAGTGAGCCTGATCTGGGGGTGGCTGCCCCTGCAGTGCAGTGATGTATCACAAAATGAGGTTCCTCTTTTGGATGGGCTTCAAGGTGAGCAGAAATGGGAGAGGATGGAGCTCAGTGCTGGGGTCCTGTCTCCCTGTATTGGTGCAGCCTTGCCCTGGGCCGTGTCCTGGACCAGCAGCTTCCACCCTGGGCAATCAGAGAACCATGGGAACATTAAGGTTGCAGAGAAAAAAACCTCTCTGCATCCCAGCAAACGCCACCGTGCCCACATCCCTCAGTGCCACATCCCTGCAGCTCTGGAACACCTCCAGAGATGGTGATCCCACTGCTCCCTGGGCAGCTGTGCCAGTGCAGCACTGCTCTTATGAGCCTGAAATTGTTCCTAATACCTAACCTGAGATGCAGGGGTTGATGCCAGCTGCTGTTGGCTTTTTGGCTTTGCTTACAGTTGTCCCAGCGCAGCTGCACCTCTCCTTCAAACCCACTGTGATGTACAGCAGGCACCACGGGTGGGACATCAAACCCCACCAAGGCCTACTGGGAGCTGCAGGTGTGAGAAAAGGGGAGCTGCGTGGGAGCTGCTGCTTCTGCTGGTTTGGCTCAGGTGGGTGGAAGGGAAGGGGGGAGCACATCTGGGGGGCAGCAATGGGTTTTTTCTTGATGCAGTGACTGTCCTTGTTCCAAATCACTGCATTGTGTGTTCCCTTTAAAAACAAGGGCGATGCTGCACGCTTCCTTGCTTTCAAAAAAAGGGTTTGCTCATGCTGAAGTCCTCCCTGAACACAGTGCTGAGCTCTGGGCGCTCCCCAGGTGTCACAGTCACTGCACCAGGAGCCGTGGGTGTGAGCAGGGTGTGTTTGTGCAAAGGGTGATCCTGGTGTCAGGATGGGACCCCGCTTTGTCAGGGTGTGCTTTGTCCCTGGGAGCAACAGATCGGGGCTGGGGGCTGAGTGAGGATGTGGAGTTAAATCACTGCATGGGAAATCAGTCTGCAGAGCAGGGGAAGCTGATTTTAGATAATTTTTATGGCTGGGCTGTTGATATTTCTGCATAAATAGTGAAAAGCATTCCGAGGGGGCAGCTGACAGCATGCCGTATCCAGGGTGCCATACCCAGGGTTACTGGGGTGCAGGACGCAGTGCTGGCAGTAGCAGGCTGCTTATTGAAGCAGTGCTGATTTAGTAGGACAAAAAAAAAGAGATGACTGCACTGGGAAGCGATGAGCAGATTGGATATCACACCACTATGTGGCATGGCTGGTTTGTGGCAGTGGCAGCAGGGTGCTCTTCCTGCAGCAAGAGCATCCTGGGGCTCATTGGCACTGCTTCCAAAGAAGCCAGGCCTTGGTGTAGGTGTTCTCCCCATTCATCCTCCTGGATGGGATGGTGTCCCCTCTCCCCTTGTCCTTGGTGCTGTGGAACCCAGCCCCAGGCAGGAGCTGGTGTGCAGCATCCATTACCTTGGTCTCTGCAATCAAAAGCCATTTATAGTAAATGTGTTTGCTTTGTACTGAATTACTCACAATGCTGCCAAGTACAACCACACCAGCTGTTAATTAGAGTTTAGCTTTTATTACCAAAAAGTCTGCTCTGTTGATATGGAAAATGGGAATAAAAAGTCATTTAACCTATTGTGATGTGAAAATAAACGATGACTTGTTGGTTTAATTAAATAGTCTATTTATCTAGCCGTCAAAGTGTTTGAACATACACAGGATTACGAGCGGCGCTATCCTGCCTTGTCTCCTGTTGTCTGCATAATCCTGTTGTTGGAAGGGAGTCACCTGCTGCGTGCCCCATTGAGCCCAACGCGCATCTTTCAGCAGAGGAGTCCCATGCATTGCTGCACATCCCTCCCCTTTCCTCCCATCCAACAAGGAGGCGTCACCTCCTTTCATAGAGTCATAGAATGGGTTGGGTTGGAAGGCACCCCAATGTTCCAACCCCCTCCCACAGGCAGGGCCACCAACCTCCAGATCTGGCACTAGCCCAGGTTGCCGATGTCTTTTTCCATGTGCTCACATTCTGTGCTTCCCAAAAGCACATCCTTTGGGCTCATTTGGGAATTTTGCTACATGTTCCACAGCAGAAGGAATCTTAGGACTTCCAGAAACCTGCGTGCTCCTCAATGCCTTCATCTCTTCATTGAGATGGTGGTGAAAAGGGAGGTTCTCAATGCTCACATCTGAAATTCTTTCTATTTTGTGCCATTTCTTTGTCCCCGACAGCTCTGTCCTGAATGGTGCATGGATTTCCAAGAAGAACACGGCCAACTGCAGAACCTGGAGCTGGCTGGCGGTGGAACCAGCGGATCTCATACACGTGGGCTGCCGGATGGTGAGGCTCAAAGGACGGGCACGGGGAGCAGGTTTGGTCAAACGGTTCCTTTGGTTCATCTGGTTGGATGCCAGTCTCTCCTCGGTGTTCCTAACGGGTGTGGGTGCTGCTGCTGTTTGCTCCTGGCCGCGGTGCAGGACACGCGCGCTGCGTCTCCACCGGAGCGCTGAACTTGTCAGCGCTGTTTACTTACGCCTTCGCACTGTTTGTGTAGTCAGAAGTCTCAATCTCATATTTATCTCCTCTTAAAGCGGCTACAGTTTATACTTTAAACACATTAATCATTTCCAAGCCTTTAAAGGGCTTTTAAGTGGAGACACTGGTTATGTTTGCCTTTTATTTAAAAGTCTCCCTTCCGAATTGGGAGGCAAGTGCTTCAAAGGACACTGAAGGAGCGTGCTCTCAGATGAACTGCAACTAGTAAGCCTTCCCCCGTGCAAAAGATAGAGCCAAAAAAGCCTTGTGCTTCAGAGGGCACCTCCGTGCCTGGCTGGGTGTGCACATTTTTTGGACTGTCCTTGGTCAGTGGTTCCTTTTGGAAGATATGGACTCTCCCGGGTGCTCATCTCCATTAGGCTGTGGCTTGCTCCCTGCAGTCTGTGGTTGGGACTCTGTGGTCCCTGGGTCTCATGAATCAATCCTGGAGTCTTTCAGCTCCAGCTTAGCAGTGACAGAGCACAACCCATGGAAAGATTCTAAGACCCACACCCGCAGCTGCACCAGCACTGCTCCTGGCCCTGGGTTTGGGGCTCCAAACCCATCCTGGTGTTCTCAGGAGGAGGTGCTGGCTCCTGCTTGGGTCACCAAAGCAGCCCAGTGGGGATACAGCACTCAGGAATGCTTTTGGTAAATACTGGCACACTCGTTTATTGGACAGGAAGGAAGTCCTACCAGAATTAAGAACACTCGCACAGCATCTGCTTCACGTAGGGTTGGTAACTGCTGCGAGGCACTGCTGCTTGGGACTGGAGGTCAGGCATGCACAGCCTTTCCTTAGTGAGGCCTTGGGACCTCAGATGTGCGTGCTGCAAAGCAGGTGGTGCTCATGATGTGTCGCAGCCAACTGCTGGGGGTGTAAATAAAGCAGTGATTGGACTGGTGAAGGATTTCTTCACAAAGGTGTTGCTGCTGGCTTTTGGTGGATGGAGGTTTTTGTTCACGTGGCATCTCCACACCTGGCTGTTGGGATGTGCTTTGTTTGTAGATTGGTCCTTCAGAAGCCTTATTTGTTTTCTTTTCCTGTAAAACCATTGGAAACAAGTAAGCTGGAGGTTAAATATCAGACCTGCAGCTCCAAGTCCTCCTCCAGGCTGTGCAGAGTAGTGGTGGGAGTCTTGCTTACATTTCAGTAATGGCAGAGAAAATCCTTTGGGTTGGAGCAGCTTCTGCTAGGATAAGGAGAAATGTTTTTTGGGGAGAAAATTTGGCTTTTCTTTTCTTTTCTTTTTTGAGAATCTGCCCTTTAAGATTCCCATTGGCACTGCGTGCTCAGCACCAGGCACAGAGCAGAACCCATTGCGTTCATCTTTGCTCCCCTTGGCCTCTATGCTCCTCCGCCTCCGTAATTGTAACAAATGCTTTTTCCATAAGATGTCAGTGTGGCACAGGAGTTTGGATGCTTGTTTGTTAGTTGTGAGTAATCCATCACGGGAAGTGAGGGAAAGCCATCTTCTGGGCTGTCCCCAAGTGTCAGCTCATTTACGGCTCGCGGCATTAATTTTTCCATTGGCAGAGAGGCAGAGGAATGGCCACACTGATCCCATACCATGAAAGGATGGCTGCTCGCCTTCAGCGATGTCAGGAAATGCTGAGGAACCAGAAAATGAGCATGAGATGCTCCCAGCTGCTCAGTTCCTGCTCTCCCTGTTCAGCTCTTCCACCCGACCGATTCACGTGCCTCCAGAATTGAACCTTGAACACCGTTTCCACCCCTCTGTGCATGTGAAACAGCAATCTGGAAAACACATTGGTGTTTTAATAGCGTTTCTGGGTAACCCTCTTGTACCGTAGGTATAGCCAAAACAAGGAGAAAACCCCTCAGGGCTGCGAAACCTAAGGACAAATGCCGATGGGGAGGCTTCTGCTGACCTCGCTGGGAGCTGGACCGATGCCTGGTGGCAGACAAAGGCTGTGTGAGTGGGGTGTGCTCACCCCAGCCCTGTTCTTCCTATGGTGTTGGGGCCCAGGGTATGTATTTCCCCCCCTGGCAATGGGCAGACTTGGATGGGTTGGACGTTGCGCAGCTCTCTCCCTTCTCTGGTTTCAGCTCGGTTGTTAAACCCAGTAATATGCGCAATAATCTGCCTGTCTGGGATTAATATAACGTTATATGTTTCTTGAAAGCCTTTCTGATCCCGCAGTTAATTTAATCTTTTATTAACATTAACGAGCTCATGTGGTGTCCAGCAAGCCTGGGGAGAATGCTTTCCAATACCAACAGATGACAAAGAGATGAAAATATAATAGCAGATGAATTCCTCCTTCACCGCAAAGGCAGCGAGGAGGGCAGAGCAGAGCCTCCTGCTCAGCAGAGCACGTACTGCTCGCTAACGTGAGCTGCCAGGAAGCAGTGCTCGTTGTTGAGGCTTTGAAATGGCAAAGGGAGAGATTACTGAGAGGCGTATCTCTGGCCGAGGAGCAGTGCGCACTTAGCAGCTATCAGCGCCCAAGTGCCAAAAGGAAAACGTTAACCTCCCTGGTGCCAAAGAGGCTCTGTGGATCCATTCTTTGGCCTCAGTGCAACGTTATAAAACAGAAATAATGGCAGTCTGGAAAACGGCCATTTCGCTGCTAGGAATTGTGTGCTGCTTTGTGCACGTGCCAGGTTCCCACCTCGGGGCGCAGGAGTTGAAGCGCAGGGCAGCAGTGTGCCCACCCCCAAGCAGTGTCAGGAGCTTCCATCCTCCCTGCATCCCCCCATTGACTCAAGCAGGTGACACCCATCTTGCCCCCCCTTTGGGCTGCGCTTTGGCAGCAGTGCTGTGGGCTCTGCCCAGATTGGTGCTGGAGGATCAGAGGTGGTGGATGTTGCGTGGCCGCTGCTCGTGCCGGGCTGCCTTGGCGCGTCACCCGAGAGCTGCAGCCAGACCTGGAGGGATCCAGAAGTTTCATTAATTTCCAATTGAGCTGGAGCCGGTGTGGGTTGCTCCTCTCGCTAGAACAAAGTTGTTCTGCACACCCAACAGCACCGGCATTGGATCCAGATGGAAGAAGCTCTGCTCCAGCAGGCAGAGGGAACCCATTAGGAGCGTGCTCCATTCCAAGGAATTCCTCTCCAATTTCCTTCCCGATTATCCTGCTTATCCACACGCATGAACCCTCCCTGCTCTGATGCTGCTTTATCTCCTGAACGGACGGATTTTCTTTATCCTTTGTGCTCTGTGCTGATGTTGTGGGGCCATGTTGTGGCAGGAGGGGCTGCTGGATGCAAGGAGAGGGGGTGTCCCCTGGGGCTGCTTTGTCTTTAACGCATAAGGCAGAAACCTGCCAAAATACAGTGCCAAGATCACACGAGGTGCGTGCTCTTAGCAGGAGGCTTTCATAGAAGCATTGAAGGTTGGAACAGACCTCTGAGATCCCCAGCCCATCCCACTGCGCCCACTGGTTATGTCCCCAAGCGCCACATCCCCATGGTTCTGGAATTCCTGCAGGGACAGGGACACCACTGCTCCCTGGGCAACTTGTGCTGGAGCAGCACTGCTCTTTCAGAGGAGAAATCTATGGGGCACAGGGATTGCCTTTTGCGTGCCACCAGCCCTGCTTCTGCACACTGCCCAGGAATGAGCGCCGTAAGTGACGGACATGGGGTGGGTGCACTGCTCTGCACACCAGCGTGAGCAGGAAAGAAGCATAAAAATGAGCTTGTAAAGAGGAGGGGTAACAGAGTTTGACTGGGTCAGTGAGGAGAAATTAGTGATCGAGTTGGAGTTTTCTGAGCCGCAAGCTGCAGTTTACTTTAAACTTTAGGAAAGTGTGGTCTCTGCTGAGGTCTGCGCTGTGGTGAACGCGGCGCTGCTTTCCAAGCCTCAACGGTTTTGCTGGGCTAATAAAAGTGGTCAGAGGAGGAGGGAAAGATGTGGTGGAATCTGGGCACTGGGGAGGCAGGACCTGAGCTGGAACTTCCCATCTGGGGCTGTTCAGCTCTACATAAAGCAAAGTGAAAGGCAGCTCATGGGCCAACGCACGGGCAGGGTGTGGAGGTGCCAACATTGCTGTAAGCCATGCAGATTGGGGCTGGCGGGCCCAGGTCGCTCAGTTCCCAGATGGTTTCCCACCATTTTTTTTTTTTTTTTTTTAAGATTTTTTGGCTCTGGGTCAAGTTTTAATTTGGTTTTTGCTTTGAGCAAAGGTGCAGCGCTGTGTGCTTGGGGAGGTGCAAGCGGAGGGCGAGCCGTGAAGCAGAGGCAGAGGAGGTGGAAAAATCACAGCCTGGGAAAAATGGGCTTTGCATATATTTGGGAAGGTTGCTAATTAGTGCAGAGAGTCACCACACCAGGGAATGCCGTATGAAAGGTAAAGCTTGGCTGTGCTCAGGATTGAGATGGCGGGGGAATACTGATGAGAGCTGCTCAGCTTCACCTGAATGCAAACCCATGCAGAAATTCAGGAGTTAGTGCTGCAGAACATCACTGAGCAGGTGAGGAAGGCTGTGGCTGCATGAGGCTTTGCTGAGGACCCCAGCAGTCTGCTCCTGGCTCTGGGATTGGCAGAGCCTGCTTTAGGATGGATGGGTGGATGGCAATTGTGCTTTGTGGTGGGTAAGATGGTCCCCAGTGGGAACCTCACATGTAGGCTGTGCAAAAAGCTGTGTGCATGTTCAGCTTCTGAGCTATGGTGTCACGTTTAATTTTGGCTTTAAAGCAAGCTCCATCCCAGCATTCTCACATGTCCACCATTTGCATTGGCTGTTGGGTTCTGTGCACATGAGCACTTGGGGTTTACTTGATGCCTTTCCTGCTCCCAAAGAGTAGTGCTGAGCTGTGCTTGCAGCTTGCTTTGCAGTTATAGTGAATGAGAGATTTGGTGCCTACAGCACTGGGGTGTTGGGAAATGTTTTGTGTTTCCTTGCAGGAGGCTCCTCCTCCCCAAACCCATCTTCAGCATAAAACTGCTCAAAAGTGCCTTTCCAATCAGCAGCGCAGTCGCTCTCGCTCAGCAAGCTGTGTCTTTATGCACTCTAACACATGCCCTGTTACGTCTTTGTATTCAATGGGCACTTGGCATCTCCTTGGGGCTGGGCTGTCTGCAGAGATACTCCTCCTCCTCAAACAGCTGGAAGTTTTTATGGTGCTGTTGAGAAATATACCTGGGACGAATTGTTGGTTTATGTCTCAGGGAGGTAAGAGCAAAGAGGCCTCCAGATGCCGCAATGGAACCATCAACAATTACAGTGAAGGTGTAATTTGTCTCTCCTCCTCTTTAACGTAGGGTGGGGGGATCCTATCCAGGTAAATACAGCACTCAGCTGGCTGCTTGGCACGCTGGGTGGGGGCAAATCCACTTCCTTGGCAGATTATAATGATATACGTTAGCCACCCGATTTAGTGAAAAATATTGTTTTCTCCTAATTAAGCAAATTGTTGCAAGCTAGGTCGCTGACTCTTGGGAAGCTGCACTTTCTGCCTTCTAGGCTTGCTGACAAGAGAGTAGATTTATCTCCAATTCAGATCGCGGGAGATGGCGTTTGGTGTTTTATTACCACGTGCAACTCTGTGGATGTTACTGGGAGATTAATGAAGAGGAGAGGGCGGGGGTGAGGGGAGTTCAGCAACGGTCTGTGCATGACAAATAAGAATTATATTTCATTTCACATGCAGATGATGCAATCAGCTGCGCAACACTGGAGATAACGCTTCTGTCGAGGTTTGTTTTTTGACCTTGAGAGGCCACGTTTTCCTCCCCCCACCTCTTCCCTGCAAATCAGAGTTCGTCTCTTAATTACGCTCTGTGATTTGAGTTTCACACGCGCAGATCAGCGGGTGTTAACACGCGGGATGGACGTGATAACCACCTGCAGGTTGGTGCCTCTGCCCTGCACACATCCCCATAGACCCCGCTGGTATCCCCATATACCCAACTTGACTCTGGGCACATCCATGCCCATGGTGTCCCAGTGCTGCCCTATAGCTATCCAGGAGCGTATGATGGCCCCTTGGATCCTCAGTGCTCTTAGAGGTCTTTTCCAACCTTAATGAATGTGAATCCATGGTGAATATTGAGATAGGTGTTGGGTGAACACGGAGTAGAACTGTCCCTTAATCACCTGTATCTAAACATAATGACGTCTATATATCTATCTCTAAGGATACACACACACAGATCTATCCATAAGTATGCCTTTACGTAATTGGAAGTGCCTGTAAGTGTCCAAAAGCATAAACGTAGCTAGCAAAGGCTGTGGATTCCCTTAATGTTCCATCTGAGTGGCTCTCAGCCAGAATTCCCCCTTTTTATTAAAATTTGATTCAAAGCCTTCACCCACGGTAGTATATTTTTCTGTCTTTAAGATCTCAGTGCTTGTAAATGTCATCCTCCCCCCCGGCTTTTATTCAGTTCCATCAGCTCTCTGAGGCCAAAGATGTGGAGGTTATTGGGGTGGGGGTGGCTCTGCACCGTGAGCACCACGTCTGCCAGCCCAGGGCAGCGCCCATGCACACTGAATAACCATAATGGAAAGAGACGCTGTCGGCTTAAATACATCAGGGCTGTTTCCTCGCAGAGTGGCAATTTGCTCTGTCATTTGGAGTTATGCAAAGTAAGGCTAAGACAGCAATATCCTGGTTGCTAATAGCTTACAAGTGACTTGTTGGAGGAGCGCCGCTCAGGGATGCAGGAGGCAGCTGCTGGCAGCCCGGGCTCTGACAGCTCTTTGGGGTTTGTGCCTTCCCCACTTGGGCACATTTCCCTGCTTCTCGTATTCCTCAGCCCCAACAACCGTCTTTCATCCGCTTTTCCAGCCCTTTGCACCCTGGGCTCCTCATTTTTCTCATGCCCAAAGTGAAGTTGGCATTCCCAGGGGTGCTCTGATAGCAGAGCTGAAGATGCTTTGTGTTGTTATCTCTGCCAACTGCAACCCCTGTTCCTTAAAAGCTGCTTCTATGATTTGAGAACATAAGGGGAGGATTTCCAGAGCAGTGAGAGCTTGAGCTGACCAGCCCCTGTGTTACCTGCCTGGGCATCAGCTAATTACTGTGCAGCTGCCTCAGCTAATTAGCAGGCAGCAGCATCCCTTGCTCCTTAGCAAGCAGCTTGTGAAGCACTGGGAGTTTGCTGCGTGGGCTCATGATGGGATGCTCTGGGGTCCTCCTCTGCTTTTCTGGCCTCTCCCCTACGGAACACAAAGGCTCTGAGCCTTTTCAAGAGCTCTGCCCGGCAGTAGGGAGTTGTGCTATTCAGATTGAACGGTGGCTATTTCACGCGTTGGGAGTGCTCAGGTTGTTAGTAGAATGCTCATCCTCAGGGGTATCTAAGAGACACGAGAATGTGGCACTGA